TGTGTGTCTGTGTGTCTGTGTGTCTGTGTTTCTGTGTGTCTGTCTGTGTATGTGTGTGAGTGAATGTGTGTCTGTCTTTATGTGAGTGCGAAAGAGTATGTGTCTACCTGAGTGTGTGTGTGTGTGAGTGTGAGAGAGTGTGTGTCTACATGAGTGTGTGTGTGCGCGCGCGAGTGTGTGTGTGAACAGGTAGGGAGCCCAGTGCACTGCCAGGATCTGCTGGGTTGTGCCTGGTCACAGTACTGCTGCCCTGTTACTCTCCATTCCCCACCCTGACTGCTGGCAATGATCCTGCAGGGGCCTTAGCACCCAGCTCCGATCACACAGCTCCATCCAAACTGGGATAGAGCAATGTGGGAGGGAAGAAAGAGGAATGTGGCAGAGATGATTAGTTTGTAAACGGGAAGCTCCTGATTTGTCTCGTGCGGAGCTTGTTTTGATGACCCGGCTTGAACAAAGTGAAAGGATCTCCGTAAATGGATGGCAAGTCAGAGAAGAGGTTTTAGGCAGAGTAACCAGAAACCTACTCAGAGAGGTGTGTTCCGAGAGAAGAGAAACGGTGAGGAGTTGAGAGAGGGAGTCACCCAGCGTGCATAGCTGTAGACCTGGGCTTGTGAGTGACCCCACAATCTGTCAGGTCTTTCCCCATCAGCAATGCCATCCTGGCCTGGGGTGGAATCCACGCTCAACAGTGCGCAGAGGCACAGAAAAGTGGGCACTTTCTGTAATCTCCCCTCTTCGTTCCTCTTCTCATCATCTTTTACAGCACAGGGAGAGGCCATTCGGCCTATCGTGTCTGCACCAGTCAACAAAATTCTGACCTTCCGGCTATGGCAACGCAAGTGAATATCTAAGTACTGCCTAAATGTTACAAGATTTTCTGATTCAACCACCCTTTCAGGCAGTGAGTTCCAGATTCCCATCACCCTCTGAGGGAAACAAATCTCCCCCTCGCCTTCTACCTCTCACCTTAAACCTATGTCCCTGGTGTTGACTCCTCTGCTCTTGGGATAAAGTGCCTTTATATTCACACAATCTGTGCCTCTTGTAGTCTTATACGTCAATGTCAGGTCCCCTTCACTGCTCCAAGGAAAAATAACCCCAGCCATTCCAGTCTTTCCCGGTCTGATAGCTCAGACCCTCCACCACAGATAGCATCCTGGTAAATCCCCTTTGCACGTGCTGTAGACTAATATAATCCTACCTACAGTGTGCTGATCTGAACTCCACTATACGCCAGCTGTGACCTAACCAGTGTCTTATACAGTTCCAACATAACCTCTTTGCTCTTGTATTTTATGCATCTGACCCGGACTTTTATCTTATTTAAAGGCAAGTGTGAGGTGCTATGTTCCAGATGTAATTCGATTGGTTACACTACTCAGCTTTAAGCGAAACGCATTTTATACTTACCCTACAGTTAAAATACAAACTAAAGAAAGAAGAGTTGGAGTAACTTTAACTCTATCAAAATACTTTTAAAAATGATACATAGTAATTGCTACTCATTAACTGTTCCAATACAGCAGCATCCCATAAACACACCCTTGGCAAAGGCAAATTCAGCCAAAGAGATTTCCCTCACTTGCTATCTCGTGCAGTCCAGGAGAAGGAACCCCGACAGCAGGATTCTAGCCACGGAGGGAGAACTCGGGTTTTTGCAGCAGTAGCGAGAGAGCTGTATCCAGCAGCTTCAACTCCAAAACCCCCCCGACTTCATCAACTGAAAGCACAACTAAAACCCTGGGTCTGAGATCAGAGAAAGTCAGACAGCATCTGCGGAGAGAGAGCAAGGTAACGTTTCGAGTCTGGATGACACTTCATCAGAGCTGGAGTGAAGTGTCGGTGGGGGTGGGAGGGTGCAGCATTTATGCTGTAGTGGGAGTGGGGGAGAAAAGCCATTCTTACTGGGGTGGGAGGAGGGGGGAGAGGGGAGAGAGAGGACATGATGACAGGAACTTGCGTAAAAGCTGTCCCCCCCCCCGCAACACTTCACATCAGCTTGTCACCGTGCCCTGTCTCTGGCCTCACCCCGCCCCATCCCGCTGGGATTGTTTTTGTTGGAATGGGTAAGGAGAGCGTGTTTTCTCTTGAACAAAACAGTGCAGCTAAAAGGTTATCAAGAAAAGATAGTCACTAAAAAATCTGGAATTAGAAAGAATCTCTTCACCCAGAGAGTAGTGAAAATGCAAAATGTTCCAACTCAGTCAGTTCTGAGAAAGGGTCAGTCAACCCCAAACATTAACCCTGACTTGTCTCTACACAGGTGCTGCCAGACCTGCTGAGTTTTTCCGGCAGTTTCTGTTTCTAACAACGGGCGTGGTTGAAGCAAATTGTATCGGTGTACTTGAGGGGAAGTTAAACAAGAGGGTGAGGAAGAAGGGAATAAAGAGTGATGCTGATCAATTTAAATGTGGAGTGGAGCATGAATACCAGCATCAACCAGTTGGGGCGAATGGCCTGTTGCTGTAGCCACATTACCCTGTAGAATGTGCAGAATGATGTCAATCGTGGCTTGGTGTATAGCACTGTCGCCTGGGTCAGAAAGTGTGAGTTCATCCCACCAGAGAAGCCGGAGCAGAGGTTCTGAGCCAATACTTCAGTGCCGTACTGAGGCGGTGCTTCACGGTTGGAAGTGCAGGCTGAGACATTAGATCGACACTCAATGGCTGTAGAAGAGTCTCTGTCAGTGAGAACAGGCAGGTTTGTTGTCCCGGCCAATATTTATCCTAACGTCACCAAACAGATCTGGCCTTGGGAACATTGCTGTTAGTGGGAGATCCCTGTGTTCAAATTGGCTACTGTGTTTTCTCCAATAAAACAATAGCTGCACTTTGGAAGCACTTAATTGGCTGCAAATGTGCCGATGTTGTGAATAGGTGCCACAGAAGTGCAAGCTGTTTCACTTTGTTGCATTTCCTTTGAACGTACACTGAATTTGTAGACAATGCCCTTCAAAAATATGGAAGGTGGTTCAGCAAGTGCCCCTTTAAGTGGCCAGCTGAATAACTCTCAGATCCCATTACATTTTAGTATTTCTTTGCCTCTGGCTGACAAACATCCATCTTAAGATGGCACTGCAGGTCATCTGAAGATCCACTATCAGAGCCCACACTGTCTCAGTCCGGTGAGAGGTCACTGAGGCAGGATGGGCAGGTTCTGACAGGGAGGAACATTCCATCTGGATCATTCTATCTCACATTCCCTTTGATACACCTCTGGCTAGCTGAACATGGAACACAGACTGAGCTGGAGTGTGGCCCAGACAGCACATGTGAGGAGAAGGAGGGAAATAGGTCTTTAAAGATTTTTTTTCAGTCAGCCAAAGGAAATATTGGATGCAGCACGTGTGGGACATTTTTCTTTATTTCCTTCGCTGATTGTTGACTCATTGGGGAAGGAAGCAATCTTAATTTGTTTGTCTTCTAATGACCTCCGGCCTACGTGTCTCTGGGGTACTCCTCCTTCTGCATTCTGGGAGTCGAACTCCCCGTTTGGAATGCTCTGGTAAAAGAAGGAACACTTAAAAAATCTGGGGTTTTTTTTGGACGATGAATTATCTGATTTTTTTTTTCCACAGAATCGACCCCAGTTTATCCTCGTACTGTGCAGGATCCCAGTATAGTCAAGTGAGCCCGCTCCTTGGGCCTGAGCAGACTCAAACCACCATGCCACTGCCCAAAGATATTGTCAAGATCGCAGTCCAGATGCCTGGGGCCTATCCCCAGTTGATCGACCTCGATCAGGTAAGAAGCAACTATGAATGGTGTCTCAATACTTCATTGACAGCAGGATAATTCCACTGATCCTCTTTAACATCGTTCTGTATCTGGGATAGTATCTGGGATATCGGGGGGGAGGTGGAGAGAGCAATTTGAGCCATATTGCGTTGAGAGTGTTTCAGAATCACGTAGATCAGGGGGTCTGATTATGATTCCATCAAGTAAGTCTGTGTTAGGAACAATCAGCAACTCCATCTGTTGTAGCTTTGAGCTACTTAAAACAGCACACTTCTCAAAACTGGTTTGGTCACTTCATAAAGTGTGGACATTACTCATTTGGCAGCTGGGCTGTACACAGCTATGTTTGAACACATTCATTCCCAGTCTGTGTTGTATCCAACTTCGGAGTTTTTTTATTCCCACCCAATGCCTGTTTGTGGGATGTGGGCATCGCTGGCAAGGCCGGGATAATATTGCCCGAGCCTGATTGCCCAGGATGATAATGGGTGCTTTTGGAGGCGCTAGTGTTCTGATGCGTCTGCTGCCCCCTGTCCTTCGAGCTCAGTAATTGTGGGTTTGGAAGGTGTTGTTGGAGGAATCGAACTCGTGAAGAGTAGCAAGGCAGGAGGCGATCTGGAGAGGGAGGGGACCGTTGGAGGAAATTGAGACTAAAGCTGAGAATTTTGTAACGAAATGAGCGGTCGCTGGAGATCTCTGGGCTTGTGCATTACCTTGGCATTTGGCCCAGGGAAGGGGGAAGATGTTTTAAAAGTAGAATTCTTCCAGGACTGGGGTTTCTGCCAGGGGGAAGGGATTGAGCTGAGTGACTGGGTTTTGGATGGAGGGGCAGGGGGTGAAGCAGGGTTGCGAGGGTTGTACGGGGAGGTAGGTTGGGCAGCGACAAGTCTTTTTGTTTGACCTTAGGTGCGATATGTACCATTCTGGACTAACCCAGGTTTCTTTCTCCTTTTGGATTCCCACAGAAGAAGCCTCTATCAACCGTCCTGAAGGAAGTCTGCGATGTGTAAGTAGCCTTCTGTCTCCCGAGGGAACATGGAGCCAGTGTGGCCTCCTGTTAGCACTTTGTTCACTCCAAAGGCTCAAAGCAAAAGAGGACCCATCTTTGTTCTCCTGAAGTGTTTTTGGTATCCTTTTGTCTAATTTTCATGACCACAGCAACAAGCAATGGCAGCAGTTTAGCCTGAAATCTGACCCCCGCCCCCCGCCCAGCCTGAACTCTGACCCCCACAACCTGAACCCTGTCCCCTCCCAGTCTCCCCTCCACCGCCACTCTATTACGCAGGCTCTGTCAGACTAAGCTCTCCTTTGGTACCTGTGCCTTGAACTCTGCGTGTGTCCCGTTCTGTGGGCCTTGGCCCTTAGCCGCTCTATCTTGAAATAATGAGGAGACAGTGATATCGTGGTGACGCCCATCCCCTTGTCAGTCAGGAGGCATCACTGGGTTGAGATCTCCCTAGATGGGCTCGAACATAACGATGGCCACATATTTGCAATTTACAGGTCCGAACATGTTATGAAAGAGTTCATGACATATTATAATAACCAAGATAGCGGCAAGAGGTGCTAAATTGTGGTGACCCTTGAAGCTTTTCACTGTATTTTACTGTATTATTCAGTGTAAAATGGAAGTGACAATAAATCTTCGTCTGTCCGTACCCTCTCCTTACCCAGGACCACAGATCCCAATCTTTCACCCATTCAGTTCACTCCACGTGATATCAAGAAACTGTTGGAGACACTGGATACTGCAAAGGCTATGGGCCCTGACAACATTCCGGCAATAGTACTGAAGACTCGTGCTCCAGAATGTGCCGTTCCCCTAGCCAAGCTGTTCCAGTACAGTTATAACGCTGCTATCTACCCGACAATGTGGAAAATTGCCCAAGTATGTCCTGTACACACAAAGCAGGACAAATCCAACCCGGCCAATTCCCGCCCCATCAGTCTGCTCTCGATCATCAGTAAAGTGATGGAAGGTGTCATCGACAGTGCGAGCAAGCAGCACCTGCTCAGCAATAACCTGCTCAGTGACGCCCAGTTTGGGTTCCGCCAGGGCCACTCAGCTCCTGATCTCATTACAGCCTTGGTTCAAACATGGACAAAAGGGCTCAATTCCAGAGGTGAGGTGAGAGAGACCGCCCTTGATATCAAGGCTGCATTTGACCGAGTGTGGCACTGAAGGACTGTTTCACTGGGGGGTAGAATTGGATAATTATCTTCATTGTGTAATTACCTGTGTTTGGGTGTGATATTTAAACGAACACCACAATGGAGAGAACTGTGACTGGACATAGTCCACCCCAGTCAGTGGTTTAGTGAGGCCTACTATGGCTCATCCAGCCCTTTGTTGGCAATTGGCGTTGGACAATTAAAATATTAGGTTTGAAGTAAATGTCAACGTATGCCCTTTGGTGCTGCTGTATGGTTGATGTTATAGGAGCTCAGAGTGTGAAAGGCCATTCAGCCCATTGTGCCTGAGAATGTGCTTTCTCACCCTCCCCACCACCTCCAATCGCCCAAGGAATGTTGTTAATAGTGATCGAGAGGACGTGGCATTGTGCAAAGAGTTTTGGACCCTGGCTCTGGAGAGATACAAACGGTGTCAGCGTTTCCAACCACTGACCTTTCCCCTGAACTGAGGTGTTACCTGTTTCTCTTCGTCCACGAACAATTCCCAGCCTGCTCTCCAGATTTTCTGCATTTTGCCCACTGTGTTTGGCTCAGTGTTTGTGGCCTTGAGTGATCAATGCCTCGGGCCTGGGGCCAGTTGACCCGAGGGAAGATCCCGCTGTCGCAAGAGCAGCACTTTTCCGAGGAGCTTCAGCAAACCGGAGCGAACGTTCCCTGTAACTGAGCAAACGTGGTTTGGATTGACCATAATACAACAGCTGAGGACACTGCAAAACACCTCCTGGACTGTAATAAGCTTTGGGATGTCTTGAGGTCACGAGGTGCTATATAAATGTAATTCCTTCTTCCCCTGATCCGGAGGTTTTTAACACTTAAACTCAGCACTAACACTCGCTGTTGTAAACTCTTCCTGGTGATTATCCATACAGGTTAAGCTCCCTCGCTTTGTGTAATGATGAAGTAGTGTGGCCGTTACTAATCCATTTACCACAAGCTGGTCAAAGTTCAGATTTGTTGTCCTGGAATCTGACCTGGGTTTCTCCTTCACATGTAGCTGGAACAAGAGTAACCCTGATCAGTATGCCCTGCAATACACTGATGGGATACAGACCTACATCACCGAGACGGTGAGTGACAGTGGGGTGGGGGGGGTGGGTACTGATGGAGCTTCAGGAGCATGTTCGGTTGCCAGCTTCTTGCATGTTACCCCTTGATGCCAATTACAGAGCAGCGTGTTGACAGTCTGCCCTCGCCCGGAGACGGGCACTGCTCGTCCCAGTTATCGGCAATATGATAGATTTGAGAGACAAACCTACTCCTTGTAAGGGCGGTACTATTTCATAATGGGCAGGATGGAAGGGAGGCTTGTATATTAGCTCAATGAACAGCAGAGACATCATCAGGGTCTGTAACAGGGGTGAGGGTCGGTAAGTGGGTCTGAGGGTCTGTAAGCGGGAGTGAGGGTCGGTAAATGGGTCTGAGGGTCTGTAAGCAGGAGTGAGCGTCAGTAAGTGGGTCTGAGGGTCTGTAAGCAGGAGTGAGGGTCGGTAAGTGGGTCTGAGGGTCTGTAAGCAGGAGTGAGGGTCAATAAGTAGGTCTGAGGGTCTGTAACAGGGGTGAGGGTCGGTAAGTGGGTCTGAGGGTCTGTAAACGGGTGTGAGGGTCTGTAAGCAGGAGTGAGGGTCGGTAAGTGGGTCTGAGGGTCTGTAAGCAGGAGTGAGGGTCTGTAAGCAGGAGTGAGGGTCGGTAAGTGGGTGTGAGGGTCTGTAAATGGGTCTGAGGGTCTGTAAGTGGGAGTGAGGGTGATCTCATTAATACTTACAGGATCCTGAGAGGCCTGGGTAGTGTGGATGTGGAAAAGATTGTTTCCACTGGTAGGAGAGACTAGGGCCAGAGGACACTACCTCAGAGTGAAAGGATGGCCCTTTAGAAGTGAGATGAGGAGGATTTCTCCAGCCAGAGGGTAGTGAATCTGTGGAACTCATTGCCACAGAGGGCTGTGAAAGCCATGTAATTGAGTGTCTTTAAGGCAGAGAGAGAGAGGTTCCTGATTAGTAAGAGGGATCAAGGGTAACACGGAGGAGGCTGGAGAATGGGTTTGAGAAACATATCTGCCATGATCGAATGGTGGAGCAGACTCGATGGGCCGAATGGCCTAATTCTGCTCCTACATCTTGCCTTACTAAAGGGGTGGAAATGTTTAAACACTGCAAAGTGTTGTAATGTGAAATGAGCTGTCAGTGAAAGCAGATTCATTAATAACTTCCAAAGGAAATTTTTGTTAGGCACCTCAAGGAAAGACTGTGCAGATCCATGGGGAACTAAGGAGGGTCAAGCTGGGGTGGTGACCGTCTTTCTGTCTCTTTGCCCTGCTCCCTGTGCTCGATACCCACTGGGTGGAACATGCAGCTTCTTCAGCCAGTGTGGGGTCCTCTGGTAGTGTCAGCTCACCATCCAAAAGATGCCCCACTCAGAAACTGCAGCATTGGAGGAGGGAGTCAGCCTGTATATATCCTGGCACACTTACTCTTAGGGTTGATATCAAAGGCCATTCAGCCCAATATGCCTACTGTCCAAATCAGCAGTTAGTGCTGTTTTCTTGCCTTCTCCACGTGACCCGTCCTCTCCAATAGGAAGCCAATTCTCCCAAAAGCCCCAATTGCGCCTCCTCCACACTCTGTGCCTTAACCATTCACAGCCTGAAAGTGGCTTTCCTCATGTCACCTTTGTTCCCTTTTATCGGGTACATTCAACTAGTACCGTCTCATTCTCAATCCTTCCACACATGATTCCAGTTTCTGTTTCCCAGCCTGCCCTGTCCCCGTGCCCTTGTGATTTTGAACAGCCAGCTCAGACAGGGACCTGAAAGTGATCCCAGTCTGTGGTACCCGCTCTTGTGCCCTCGGTAGAATCATAGTCATAGAGCTGTACAACACAGAAACAGACCCTTCGGTCCAACTTGTTCATGCCGACCACATACCCTGAATTAGTCTAGTCCCGTTTGTCAGCATTTGGCCCATATCCCTCTAAACCCTTCCTATTCATGTACCCATCCAAATGCCTTTTAAATGTTGTAACTGTACCAGCCTCCACCACTTCCTCTGGCAGCTCATTCCATACACACACCACCCTCTGTGTGAAAAAGTTCCCCTCTCACCTTAAACCTATGTCCTCTAGTTTTGGACTCCACTATCCTGGGGAAAAGACCTTGACTATTCACCTTATCCAAGCCCCTCATGATTTTATAAACCCCTCAGCCTCTGACACTCCAAGGAAAATAGCCCCAAGCCCTATTCAGCCTCTCCCTATGGCTCAAACCCTCCAAACCTGGCAACATCCTTGTAATGGTGATAGTAGGACCTGCTGATGCTGGAGAATCTGAGATAACAAGGTGTAGGGCTGGATGAGCACAGCAGGCCAAGCAGCATCAGAGGAGCAGGAAGGCTAATGTTTTGGGCCTAGACCCTTCTTCAGGGTCTGAAATGTCAGCCTTCCTGCTCCTCTGATGCTGCTTGGCCTGCTGTGTTCATCCAGCTCTACACCTTGTTATCTAACATCCTTGTAATTCTTTCCTGAACCCTTTCAAATTTCACAGCTTCCTTCCATATACCAGGGAGACCAGAACTGAACGCAGTATTCCAAAAGTGCCCTAACCAATGTCCTGTACAGCCGCAGCATGGACTCCCAGCTCCCATACTCAGTGCATTGACGAATAAAGGCAAACTTACCAAACACCTTCTTCACTATCCTATCTACCTGCGACTCCACTTTCAAGGAACTATAGCTGGGGCATTGTTGGTGCTGAATGACCAGGACTGGGTAAGGGCTGTATGGAAGCTGATGGAAGCTGTTTAGGACAGAGGGTTGGTGTTATCGGACGTGTGAAAGTCCCTGCCAGACTGACTATTATTTACAGTTTTGGTCTCCTTATCTGAGGAAGGATGTTCTGGCTATGGAGGGAGTGCACACTGACTCCTGGTATGGAAGGTCTGACTGAATTGGTTAGCATTGTATTTTGGAGTTTAGAAAAATGAAGGGGGTAGGGTGGGTGGGGTGGGGGGGGAGCGGTGGTTGGGGTGGGAGGAGAAGGGGGTGGCAGGATCTCATAGAAACCGAAAAAACTGTAACAGGACTAGGCAGGGTAAATCCAGGAAGGATGCTCCCCATGACCAGAACCAGGGGTCACAGTTTAAGGATACAAGGAAAGGCCATTTAGGACTGAGATGGGCGGCACGGTGGCTCAGTGGTTAGCACTGCTGCCTCACAGAACAAGGGACCCCAGTTTGATTCCACCCTCAGGCGACTATCTGTGTGGAGTTGGCACATCCTCCCTGTGTCTGCGTGGGTTTCCTCTGGGTGCTGTGGTTTCCTCCCACAGTCCAAAGATGTGCAGGTTAGGGTGGATTGGCCGTGCTAAATTGTCCCATAGTGTTCGGGGATGTTTAGGTTATGTGGGTTAGACATGGGAAATGCAGGGCTAGGGATGGGATGCTCTTCGGAGGGTCAGTGTGGACTTGTTGGGCCGAATGGCCTGTTTCCACACTGTAGGGATTCTATGAGGAGAAATTTCTGCACCGAGAGAGTGGTGAGCCTGTGGAATTCTCTCCCACAGAAAGCAGTTGAGGCCAAAACATTGAACGTTTTCAAGAGTTAGATATAGTCCTTAGGACAAAAAGGATCAAAGGGTATGGGGAGAGAGTGGGAAGAGGGGACTGTGTTGGATGATCAGCTATGATCCTATTGAAGGGCGGAGTGGGCTCAAAGGGCCTACTCCTATTTTTGGTGTTTCTAATGGCCTTCTTAAATTTGTTACAGAATCGCCATGATATAAAGAATGGGAGTATTCTGCGCCTGGCAACTGCCCCTGTAAGTACCCCATCACTGTGGGGGGATTGTGGGGGGGCATTGCCTTTACCAGGGTCTAAGTGTCGAATACAAACAGAAATTGCCCCTACAAACCACTGACTCTGTCCTTCTGCCTTTAAGTCTGCCTTTCTTCATCTAGATACGTACAACAACAAGACCTTGAGTTTGTATGATGCCTTCGGGAATGACAAAACATTACACAAATATTCTCTCAGTGCGGACACTGAGCCATTTCTGGAGATATTGGGTCAGAGACTGACTGACTGAAAGCTGGTTCATAGGGGCTGTCTGAAATTGCTTTCCAAGCACATCCATAGACCGTGGTCTGTCTGAGGCCTCCTTCCCCTGGTCTCACCACCTTTGTATCTCTATCAACTCCCTCTCTTTCTCCCCCTTTTGAAAGCCTCCTTTAAAGCTGCCTGTGTGAACCCAGCTCCTGAGATCTCCTCCTGCTGCTCGGTCTCACATTGAGCTGAGAACGTTTCACTGGGGTCGGAGGTGCTAGGTGAATGCAGGTTGCTGTCTCCTACCAAGCTGGCCTGTAGAGGTCAGTTGGCAGAGGTTGAGGGGGGTGGATTCTGGAACTGGTTGAGTTTCCTCCTGGGAGGAGGGAGGGTGGGACGTTTAATATACCTCAAAAAACTGCCCACCTTGGGATGAGCCCTTGTCTAATAACTGAGTCTGTGCTCCCTACACATCTGCATGTAGCCAGGTGCCTGGGAATGCCTTTAGTGAGCCTCCTGGTGTCCACTCGTGGTACTGCCCCCACTTGCTGAAGAAATCCTCTCTCTCACACAGTTTTGGCTTACTTTCTGTTTACAGCTTTCATTTCATCTTGGAGTGGTGCCTGACAATTCTTCAGAACAGGATTATGCAATGACAGGGCATAGAATTAATATCAACACCAAGCATAACAGAGAAAGCATTAGGAGGGATTCTGTGCTGTGGAACATGATGTCAGGGTATAGAAGCCCAGACCAGAAAGTGGAATTGGAATCAGAATAGTTTATTCAAAGGAAATGAATAAAGCAGAAAGCAGAAGGGTGTGGAGTGGGACAAGGGGTCCATGAAAAGAGCTGGCACACACATACACACACCCACAATCTCTATCATACTCTCTCTCTCATACACACACACACACACACTCTCTCTATCATGCTCTCCCTCTGTTTGTCTCTCTTACACACAGCACTCTCTCTCACACTCTCTTTCTCTCTTACACTCTTTTTCTTTCTCTCATTCACACACACACACACACACACACTTTCTCACCCATCATCTCTGTTACACACAATCTCTCTCTCTCTATCTCTCTCTCTCTACCGCACACACACACTGTCTCTCTCTCTCTCTCTCTCTCTCTCCCTCTCTCTCACACACACACTCTATTGCTTTCTCCCTCTCTCACACACACACTGACTTACACATAAGTGTGCACACAGTCTCAGAAATATTTCTACGTATATAATATGCTGGGGCAGTGTATTTTTCTCTCTCGGTCTCCATTGCGAAAGAAATGTTGCACCTTTCAAACAGAGCTCGTTTTATCAGGGAGGACTGGTTTTAACCATGAGAAGAAACATTTTATTGGGTGATGTGTCTTCCCCAGCTCCACTTGCTTCGGTGAAATAGGAGTAGGCTATTCAGCCCATCAAATCCACTCTGCTATCCAATGAGATCATGGCTCATCAGATAATCCTCAACTCCACTCTCCTGCCTTTTCCCTGTAAGCCTCGATTCTCTTGCTGTTTAAAAGTCTGTCTATCTCGGCCTTGAATATAATTTGGCCGAAGCCTTCCTCCCGCTCAAGTCAGGGAATGTCAATGGAATGACCAGAAGAGGGAGATTTCTCCCCTCTTGTATTCTCTGTTACAGCAGGAACTGATTTAAATCACTGACCACTGAGAAAATGCCAAAGACCTCATTTCAGAGTTACTGCCATGAAACATCCGAACAGTTTGCTAATTTCAGGAAGGTGCCAGTTTCAAGTGTGCCCATTTTGTCGACAGTGACCTGGATGAATGAAAACATGAAGGGAGGAAGTTTCGAGGGGATTTGAGGAACAATATTTTCACCCAGAGGGTGTTGGGAATGTGGAATCTGGAATAGGAGGGTAGCTGAGGCAACCTTTTAAAACGTGCTGGGATAAGCTCTCAATGCCTTAACATTTAAGGCTATGGGTCCAGTGCAGGAAAGTGGGACTAGGTGTAGGTAGTTGTGTCTTTTTTTAGCAGTACATTCTTGATGGGCCAAAGGTCCTTGTGTACTGTATGATTCTATGAACTTCTTTACCCTCATCAGACGTCCCAAAGCATTTCACAGTAGCGTTACCCAGCAGAATTTGGCAATGATGTGCTCCAGGAAATACAAGATCAGGGGACCAGACACTTAGACCAGGGGTGAGTTAAGTAGCTGTAAGGACAGAACTACACAACTTAGGCTATTGAAGATGAGGAAGCGATCAAATTTGGTGTGGGAGGCAGAATTGGAGGAATCTCAGAGGGCTGTAGGGATGGATAAGGTTCCAAGTACTGGGGAAGGGTGGAGCCAGGCAAGGGTTTGATCTTGAGACTGAGAATTAAACTTTGAGAAGGAGCAGGTCAATGCACAGGAGTGACGGCACTCAAGAGAGTCAGATGTTCAAACCCCACACGTACGCGTCAGGGAACAGAGTCAAATCAAAGCTCAGCTCCCGCTCCCTCTCTGAAGCTCTCGGCTGATCTTTCCCAGGACCTGCTTGTGTCATCACTCAACCGCCTGTTCTTCTGTTTCCGCGGCAGAGCCGAGAGGCTGAGAACCTGTACGCCGGCATCCAGAGTAACAACTACAATGTGCGCTCAGACTCGCTGAAGGGCCTGGCGGTCCTCTCCAAGGATATCACCTTTGCCCAGGAGTTCATCAGCAAGGATGGGATTGCTGTGCTCGTTCGCATTGTGGAAAACGGCCACGAGTGAGTAAGGGAGCACTCTCTGTGCACTGCGGGGCTCAGAACCAAACAGCCCTTTGGTTCCCACTCTGTCACCGCAAACATGTTTCTGTTTGTTCTCTGGCCTCGAGTTCAAAATGTCAACGTGCCTGTTGGGGACTGGTTCCGAGATCTGTTTCCTCAGAGCCAAACCGCTCTCCAAAGCCAAGCTGTCTGTGTCATCCTTTTTACTGAAAGGTATCACGGGTCTGCAAGGTTATCCTGACCCAAGGGTTAAGCTACTGCTCTTCTCTGGATCATACAGCCACATCACTTCAGCAGGCTGTTGGTCACACCAGCCTCTTTCTACAGAGGGTGTCAATCACCCAGAATAAGAGCCGTTGGAGTCACTTTGAGCGTGCAGACTGATCTAACGCCCGCACATGGGAAATTGTAGACCGTTTGGCCCCTCGAGCCTGCTTTCCCATTCAATGAGGCTGTGGCTGACCTGTTTTGTGTTTTGAGCTCCACGTTCCACAGGCTCGTTACCTGCTGTGATGAGCGTTGCCAAACCACCAAGCGGGCATCAGCTCAGGGTTAACTCTCTCGGGAGAACAGTGTGGATTCGTGACCATACAATAGGCAGACACTCCAGCACAGTACTGAGGGAGAGCTGCACTGCTAGAGGTGCTGTCTTTCAAGTGAAACCGAAACTGGGACCTTGTCTACCCTCTCCGGTAGATGGAAAAGATTTGTACCCTGAAGGGGAGTGCTCTTTTGGTGTCCTGGCCAATATTTACTCCTTAATATAGCATTAATTTAAAAAAAAAAGACACTTTCCAATTAGTGGTATATTAGGGTTCACAGTAGCTGCTGTATTGGTGACACAGTGGTTAGCACTGCTGCCTCACTGTGCTAGGGACCGGGGTTCAATTCCACCCTCAGGTGACTGTCTGTGTGGAGTTTGAACATTCTCCCTGTGTCAGTGTGGGTTTCCCCTGGGTGCTTCAGTTTCCTCCCACAGTCCAAAGATGTGCAGGTTAGAGTGGGTTGGCCATGCTAAATTGCCCTGTAGTGTCAGGGATGTACAGGCTAGGTGGTTTAACCATGGCAAATGCAGGGTTACAGGCATGGGGTGGGTCTGGGTGGGATAGTCTTTAGAGGGTCAGTGTGGACTCGATGGGCTGAATGGCCTGCTCCCACACTGAAGGGATTCTATGTCCTACACAAGGATGGTGGTTCGTTTTCAGTAAGTTGTAATTGATGGTGAAGGGTTTTGGGATGTCCAAATGGTCATGAAAAGTGTAAGTTATTTCTTTACAGAGTTGTGCAGTATTACAGCATGGAAAGACGGCACGCCGTTCCTGTCTGGGTATCTTCCTTACTGTCTCCCTGACCCAGACCATTCTTTCCTGTCCTGGCGGTGTTTGCACTGTCCAGTGAGAACCCAGGTAATAGATTGTCTCTTGTGTGTTACAGCACTGGGGAGAGCCTGGCTCACGCCCTCAATGCGTTCATCGAACTGATGGAACACGGAGTCGTTTCCTGGGAAACCCTCAACCACGTTTTCATCAAGAAGGTGAGAGCCCAGCTCCCTGAGAGACAGGGCTCGCCAGCCATACACTGCCCCGTCTGATTTTGCCCTGCTTATGGGTTAACACTTTCATTGCTTTATCACTTCGTCAGGCGTGGGTATCGCTGGCAAGGCCAGCACTTGTTGCCCATCCCTAGTTGCCCTTTGAACAATGTGGTTGGCAGGACTTCGGTTGGTAGATCAGAGTCAACCACAATACTGTGGGCCTGTGATCACGTGTAAGGTAAGGATGGCAAACTTCCTTCTGTAAAGGACATCAAGGTACCAGATGGGTTTTTTTTTTACAACAATTGATGATTGTTTCACCTTAAACTACATTTCAATTCCACATTTATTAATGTAGTTTAAATTTGCACCTTAGGGTACAGGTTTGTAGTTCCTTGAAAGTGCAGTCCCATCTAGACAGGGTAGTAAAGAAGGCATTTGGTACGCTTGCCTTTATTGGTCAGTGCATTGAGAATAGGAGTTGGGAGGTCATGTTGCGGCTATACAGGACATTGGTTAGGAATACTGTATTGAATTCTGGCCTCCCTGCTGTAGGAGAGATGTGAAACTTGAAAGGGTTTAGAAAGGATTTATGAGGATGTTGCCAGGGTTGGAAGGTTTGATCTATAGGGAGAGGCTGAATAGGCTGGGGCTATTTTCCCCGGAGTGTTGGAGGCTGAGGGGTGACCTTATAGAAGTTTATAAAATCATGAGGGGCATGGATGGGGTCAGTAATCAAGGTTTTATTCCCAGGGTCAGGGAGTCCAAAGCTAGAGGGCATAGATTTAAGGTGAGAGGGGAAAGATTTAAAAGGGACCTAAGGGGCAGCTATTTCACACAGAGGGTAGTGCGTGTATGGAATGATCTGCCAGAGGAAGTGGTGGAGGCTGGTACACTTACAACATTTAAAAGGTATCTGAATAGGAAGGGTTTAGAGAGATATGGGTCAAATGGCAAATGGGACTAGGTCAGATTGGGATATCTGGTCAACATGGACATGTTGGACCGAAGGGTCTGTTTCCATGCTGTACGTTTCTGTGACTCTAAATTCCACCAGATGCCATGACAGGATTTGAACCCCTGCCCTCAGAGTCTGGCTCCAAATTATTAGTCCGGTGGTGTTATCAGCACACCACCATCTCCTCTTGTTAGGAAGCTGCTGTTGTGCCAGTTCTCAGTAAAACCTCCAGGCAGCCACTACTGCCCATCAATACCCATCAGCTTATCCACACTGCTACCCTGAGCCTTGCCCACCAGGTAGGCCCCCAGGATTTGGTCTGTGTTAAGTTGGCACTCCTACCCAACCGATCATGATTGTATTACACTGTGGGAGTATCACCACCATTCTGTGCCCCCCACCCCAATTCAGTTCTGGTTTTGATTATGTGAGCCTGGCAACTCGTCGATGCTCACTGTGTTTGATTGGTTAAGCTTAGGTGCAGACTCTGAGCAAAGTAGAGACAGAAGCTACTGGAGCTAGGATAAGCATGAGATCAGACAGTTTTGAATCGGAAGAGACATGTTACAACTTGTGTATATTAACAGTTGCACACGTTTGTGGCTGGGTCCGAGAAATGTAAAGATAAAACAACTGGTGAATATACAACAGGCTGCTGTTTCCTCCTTTTCCAGTAGGAGGAGTGGGCCAGAACAGTCTGACTGGATGAATGTAGGCTTCAACAACAACTGGGGCAGTAGTGCAGCCTGTTACAGCCCAGCTACACATTAATCCATCACCTTGTAGCGGGAACATTGCAGGGTTTTATGGAGAGATTGGCTGATTCTAAATAGTGGGGGACAGTGTGGAGACAGCTCATCCCATGCTGTCCCTGTCCTGGGAATGTTTGATGGGGGGGTCAGTGTAGAAGGAGCTTTACACTGTACCTAATCCCATACTGTACCTGCATCTGATGGGGACAGTGCCAAGGGAGCTTTACTCTATATCTTGCTGAGCTCTTTCAGCCCTGGGAGTTTTTGATGCCAATAACTGGCCCTCAATTTAGAAAGTGTTCGGGTCTCAGTTGAGATATTACGTGCCTTGATGACTATAAAATGTGTTAAAAGAATGACCCATGCATTGAAAGGCCAGTGACGACTGTAATGAGATGCTTGCTAATGTATTGACCTGTTTGCCTGTCTGTCTGGCCTTAGATTGCAGGGTTTGTGAACAAATCTGCAATGGATGCATCGATCCAGCAGCTATCGTTGGCGATCCTGGAGAGTATGGTACTGAGCAGCGGCTTCCTGTTTCAGTTGGTGAAGAGCGAGGTGCCTCTGGACAGACTTATCTCTCACTTACAAGTGTAAGTAATATTAAGACCACATCTAGAGAGTTCCTGCTACCTCATGAGCCCAACCCATTTTCTGGAGCCTTTGACTGAACACAAAAATTCTTAACCCATCCGGGCCTGTTCATGTAGGCCTGAGACCTTTCACAGCCTGTTTATTTGCCAAAAATCCCAGACTTCTTCTGGCAAACATGGCCTGGGGCCTACCTGAAAATGGCTGCCAATCCCCAAAGTGGAAATCAGTTTTAAAAACAAGTTATACTTGAGCAGAAATGTACTAGTCCTCCATTTTGAACTAACAGGATGAGTCGGACCAGTATTCACAAGCATTACTGTTCCTTTTTTCCCTGCTGGGTAGTCTTGTGCCAAATATAATGCTCCAGTCTCTGAACTGGAATACCTGCAACCATTAGCATTGTTCAAGAATAAGTGTTCGATTAGATCGACTCACCAATTCATTCAACACATCCCCATTTGTGAGCTGAATAATATTAAAGGTTAGTCTGTTTGACACTGCCCTCTATTTCAGTATCCACTCTTTTACAGCCATAGAGTCATACAGCACAGAAACAGACCCTTTAGTCCAACCAGTCCAAGCTGACCATAATCCCAAACTAAACTAGTCCCACCTGCCTGCACTTGGCCCATGTTCCTCCAAACATTTCTTATTCATGCACTTGTCTTTTAGATGTTGTAACTGTACCTGCATCCACCACTTCCTCTGGCAGTTCATTCCATACACAAACTACCCTCTGTGTGAAAATATTGCCCCTCGTGTCTTTTTTAAAATCTCTCTCCTCTCACCTTAAAAATATGCCCTGTGGATTTGAAATCCCTCACCCTAGGGCAAAGACACCTGCCATTCACCTTATCTATACCCCTCATTATTTTATAAACCTCGACAAGGTCACCTCTCAATCTCCTAAACTCCCAGCCTCTCCAGCCTCTCATAGAGTCATACAGCGCGGAAACAGACCCTTCGGTCCAACCAGTCCATGCCGAACATAATCCCAAACTAAACTAGTCCCACCTGCCTGCTCCTGGCCCATATCCCTCCAAACCTTTCCTATTCGTGTTCTTATCCAAAAGTCTTTTGCATGTTGTAACTCTACCCACATCCACCACTTCCTCAGGAAGTTCATTCCACACGCCTGACCAACATCCTGAACAGCCTCAACCTAATGTGGGAAAAGAGGTTCTTTTTCAGGGGGGGGTTGGTGATCTGTAACCAGGGGGTTCCACTGAAATTGGTGCTGGGACTGCAACTGCTAACAATACACATTCATGACTTAGAGGAAGGTAGCAAATGTATTGTGGCCAAATTTGCAGACAGCGCTAAAATAGGTGGAAAGGCAAGTTGTAAGAGGCTTACAAACAGTTTACAGGGAGAAATTATAAGGTTAAGTATGTGGCAGCAAGTTGGCAAATGGAGTATAATGTGGGAAAATACAACATTTGTTTCGGAAGGGAGAACAAACAAATTTAATCATTTAACAAAATTATTTCAATGGAGATAAACCACAGAAAGCTGCAACATAATGGACTGGCGGAGGGAGGGGGGGATCTTGTACATGAAACACAGAAAGCTAGCACACAGAGTGCAGCAGGTAATCAGGAAGGCTCATGGAATGTTGGCCGTTATTTCAAGGGGGAAGGAGTGTAAGAGTGGGGAAGTCTTACTGCAATGTACAAGATGCTGGTGAGACCACAACTGGGGTACCGCGAGCAGTTTTGTTTCCCTTATTTAAGGAAAGATATTGTTTCATTGGAGGCAGTTCAGAGAAGGTTCGCTAGGATGATCCCTGGTATAGAGGGACTGTCTTATGAGCAAAGGCTAAACAGGTTGGGACTCTACTCACTGGACTTTAGAAGAATGAGAGGTGAGCTCATTGAAACATCCAGGATTGTTAAGGACTTGACAGGGTAAATACTGAGAGGATGCTTCCCCTCATGGGAGAGTCTAGGACCTGAGGGAACAGTCTCAGAATAAAGGGGCACCAATTTAAGACTGAGATGAGGAGGAATTTCCTCTCTCATAGGGTTTGTGAGTCTTCAGAACTGCTACAGAGTTGTGGGGTTAGAGTCCTTGCGTCTATTTAAGGCTGAGTTAGATTCTTGATCAATCAGAGAATCATTATGGGGAAAGGACAGGAAGGTGAGGAATGTTGGATCTGCAGTGATCTTATTGCATGGCAGAGGAGGCTCGAGGGGCTGAATGGCCTACTCCTCTTCCTGTTTCCCCAGGTCTTATTTAGTATTACAGCTCAAAGGCTATGACTCTTTGTGAATCCTTACTCCTCAGGCACGCTCAGGACCATGCACCGGTCCAAGGTCCCACCTCCATTCATTTCCCACCTGGAGGTGGCCTTTCCCGGGAAGCGGGTGGAAAATCCAATGTGTGTGTTACATCTGGGAATCTGAAACTCCCCTCACCGCGAAGCTGAGTATCCTGGGGCTCCTGAGGCAAGCTGAGATTAATAGAATTTTGATGTTGGAGGTGATCTCGGGACAGGTTTAACATCTCCCTCACAGTGCCATGGGAAAGCTGTTGGTCTGCTTTAACATTGACTTTACAGAGCACATACAGACCATTCGGCCCAACTGTCCTATGTCAATATTCAGACTTCATATTGGCCTCCACCTCCTCTTCTTCAGTTAAAATCCTTCTATTCCATTCTGTCCTATACAAAGAACAGTACAGCACAAGAACGGACCCTTGAGCCCTTATGGCCCAGCATATGATGCCTTATTAAAGTAAAAGTCTTTTACCTCTACGTGGTCCATATCCCTCTATTCTCTGCCTATTTACATATCTGTCAAGATGCCTTTTAAACATTGCTGTTGTATCTGCTCCAGCACCTCCTCTGGCAGCACATTCCAGACACTTACCACCCTCTCTCTTTTAAAAAAAGAGCTTGCTTCTCACTTCCCCTTTAAACTTATCCCCTTTTACCTTAAACCTATGTTCCCTAGTAATTGATGTTTCTATCCTGGGGAAAAAGACTCCGCCTATCCATTCTATCTGTGTCTCTCAAAATTTTGTAAACTTCTATCAGGTCACCCCCCTCAGCCTCCAACATTCAAGTGAAAAAAAGCAAGTTTGTCCAATTTCTCCTTCTATCTAATACCCTCCAAACCATGCAGCACCCTGAGAAACCATTTCTGTACCCTCTCCAAAGCCTCCACGTCTTTCTGAGAATGTGGTGGCCAAAACTCTACACAATATTGCAAATGTAGCCTAACTTATATTCTATACAGCTACAACATGACCTGCTGATTTTTATTCACAATGCCCCAAGTGGAGGGCAGGCATGCCATATGCCTTCTTGACCACCTTATCCACTTGTGCTTATCTAGAGTCCTGTAAAGGTGTAGTATGCAGGCTAATCACATCAAAGACTCGAGATGGGAGCAGCTTCCACATTCTCGCTACTATTTTTAATAATGAGTAAAACTTTTCCGGAGTTGTTCCTATTGGGGATCTGCCCAGTAGGAGGTGCTGTTGGGGTATCTGCCCAGTAGGAGGTGCTGTTGGGGTATCTGCCCAGTAGGGGGTGCTGTTGGGGTATCTGCCCAGTAGGGGGTGCTGTTGGGGTATCTGCCCAGTAGGGGGTGCTGTTGTGGTATCTGCCCAGTAGGGGCTGCTGGTGGGGTATCTGCCCAGTAGGGGGTGCTAGTGGGGTATCTGCCCAGTAAGGGGTGCTAGTGGGGTATCTGCCCAGTAGGGGCTGCTGTTGGGGTATCTGCCCAGTAGGGGCTGCTGGTGGGGTATCTGCCTGGTGGGCTATCTGCCCAGTAGGGGCTGCTGTTGGGCTATCTGCCCAGTAGGGGCTGCTGTTGGGGTATCTGCCCAGTAGGGGCTGCTGGTGGGGTATCTGCCCTGTGGGGGGTGCTAGTGGGTAGCTGATCTTTTGGGGATTTCTCTCCTTCTACCTCTGCAGGACAAACCAGATGATCCAAACGAAAGCAATGGCTCTGATCATCGCCCTGCTCCTGAGTTCTAAGGAGGACGAGAGGAAGGTAAGGGTACACTAGCCTTGGCATGGTCGCTCTCTGTGTGGGCATCATTCCTCACAATCTCAATGGTAGAATACTGCTCCCACTTCAACATAAAAATGAGACAACATTGGCATGGAGCCCATGTGGACAGCTGGTGTGGACTGTCACAATGCTACAGTGCTGCATTCGTGGTTGGGCGCTGAGGTTTAAGCACATTGACAGTGAGCAGGGACAACTTTACTCCGTAACTCGGATTTGATCTGGGAAAGACTGTTGGAATCAGTGTGCGGTCAGTACTAACACAGCCAAGAGGGTATGACCCTTCCTGAGCACTGATCCATCTCTGCCCAGCACCTAATCCTTAAACCACTCAGTATAAACTGTACAAGCTGGAGCTCCAGTCCTCACTATTGTCCTATCATGCAGCATTGGACAGTCTTGCCTGGCACAGGAGGAGACCATTTGGCCCGTTGAACCTGCTGTGCCATTCAATACAACAAGACCTATCCTTGACTGTACCATCACTATCCTGCCCGCTCCCCGTGTTCTGACAGTGAGTGTACCCGTGGCAGCAAAATTACTCTGACTGCGATGCCCCACACAGTCAGATAGCCTGCTGGTCAAATTTCAAACCAGGATCGTTGCCCTTCAAGCGATCAGTATTTGTGAAATTGTATCCCAGAGGGACAGAGGAAGGTTTGGAACAGTTGAAGTGAGCATTATTAATGTGGTATTTATAACTGTCCTTTACAAGTGTAATATTCTAATTCTGTCAAATCACACAAAGCCTATTCTCGTTCAGTTACCTGAAGCTGCCCAGATATTGTCAAATCTCTGTCCCTGGGCAGCTTCAGAGTGAGTATTGGACTGAAGGGTATCTTTCCGTGCTATACACCTCCATGACTCTATGACTATAGTGTTCTTTCTTTCCCTCAATTAGGAAATGATGGACTTCCTCAATACGAGAAACCTCAGACAGTACATTTTCAAGGTAAAAGAGACTTCATAAAAGAGGTTTCAACATTCAAACCGAGGTGTGGAACTGGTCAGTCCTGTACAAGGGGCAACAGGGGACCGGTCAGTGCTGTACAAGGGGCAATAGGGGACAGGTCAGTGCTGTACAAGGGGAGGGGGAGCTGGTCAGTACTGTCTGAATGGACAGGAGGCAGATCACTGCTCCCCCAGGGGAGGGAGGTACTGGTCAGTCCTGTCTGAAAAGGTAGGATGATCAGTCAGTGCAGTCTTGAGGGGGAGTGGGGACAGGTCAGTGCAGTCTTGAGG